TCTATCTAGCGCACGGAGCGTTATGATGGTGTAAATATCAATAACGTCAGAAAACTGATTAACATGTCATAAATTTCAACAATTCCACTATAAATCATTATCTATTCAGGGAGATTCTAACATTATTCACTACACATCAGAGTATCTTTACGCAGGCTATCATACAACATTACAAATCGTGTGAAAAATTAATCAACAAATGAGTATTTATAGTGGAATTGTTGAAATTTATGACATTTTGATCAGCTTTCTGACATTATTGAGATCTACTCCATCATAGCGCTCCATAAGATAGATAGATGAGCTAAGTATGCTTTATTTTGGCAATATAGAATAGAACTGTCACCAAACTATTGCCCATCTATGAAACAAAAAACTGGCTTTTTTAATTTTTTTGTACCCTTACGGCCGGATGTTGCCAAATGGCAACATACTAAATTTTGGTATTCGAGAATCCTAATTAATCCATGTTATATTCTTAACAAATAATAGGGTTAGAAGCGAAATTTAAGGGCAAGTCACTTCTCATATAGAATGCTTGAATAAGCGATAAGAAGATCTTTTCCCTTCGGGAGCTCTTTTGGGCGTTTCGGGAGAATTGATCTCATTTGCCAACAGAAGATAACCTCTCTCTATCAAACACATATATTTGTGCTAAAATATGTGTAGTTATTTATCGAATGGCATGAAAAACTATATCTCATCGTTTTAAGAAAAAAATTATATTAACATCAGTAAAATGTTGCCAAATCGCAACATCCGACTGTAAAGGGTTAATTGAAGAATTGAAATCTATCGCTGCTGCAATAGGATTTCAATTTGCACCGAAAATTGTAATGAGTGATTTTGAATCAGTTTTAATGGGTGTAGCGAAAACTAAAGTAACTATCTTACACGACGCGTATTTCACATATAATTTTCATCTGTTTGTTTTCGTAGTTCTTTCTGCAAAGCATTTGTCGTGCTATTTCCACTTCACCCAAGCGGTGCACAGGTAGCGATGATCAAATGTGATCGGAAAAGAAACGAATGCTTAATTTTATAATCCAAACCATATGAAAGCAATAATTGCCAGCGAGAAATCGAGTGTCCCATGTCCAAGAGTTTGAATACGATGTGCGATCAGCATGTAGTAGCGTAAAGTAATAACGATTCAAGAGTGCGAAGAGTGAGAATCGTTTTAACGAATGGATTGAAATTGATCATGAACGTTGAGTGATGAATTAAGAATGTATTAACGAGAAAGGACCAAATAGACACATAAATGTAGTTTTTAGACTTGTTTAAGTTCTGTATTGAGAAGTTTTCAAAGCGTTCTTTCGGTGTATCAAAGAATCAAATTAACAATAAGAGAAGAACCCATGTGCTCTTCAAGAGAAATAACAGATGCTGATGGCCATATATTATGGAATCTGGTCGACTAAAGTGTGATGCTAATTGAATACTGCAATGCGATTGTTGGTGTTCGGTAAAATAAACGATCGTTTGTTCATTGCCCAGCTTTGCCGAACAAGATGCGTATACAAACAACAGGCGTTGTGACGTGGTTTCGGGAACGTGCTTGAATGCTATGTCATTTATGTGAGATTCGAATTGTGGTTCAGACGGACTTGATGGAAAATTAGCTTCTTTTGATGATGGACTCATAATTTCTACAGGGGATATTCGAGCAAACGATTCACGTTGAGGTTTGATCTCGTGAATATGCCATGACTCAGTACCATCAGACTATGCTAAGTTAGATGTAGTTGATTCGGCGAGCATGAAGGCGTCTACTGAATGCGTGTCAATCAAATCATTCTGTTCGAATTGAAGTGATTCGAGATGAATACGTTCTTGGCGAAGTCAATACTCATATTGGCTTCGTTGTCGATGAAGTAGTTTTTCAACTTTTGTTGTTTCTACGGGTTCGATGAAAAGAATCCAATTTTTGCGTAAAACCTGTTTTACTTGTTGTCGTTCGTTGATATCGGTAATATCCCAAACAGATTCGCTGATTCGAGATGTAATAGTTCGACAGTCATAATGTGAAAATAATGAAAAATGTGCAAGTTGTTTTCGACGAGCCTGTAGAACTTGTGGTTGATAAAAACGATTTGTTCTTTTCATCATTGCAGGATAGTTTTCGTGCCGCTCAGAGTCAGGACATCTAGGACAAATACATGCTTCGTGTCGTCCTTGCATTCGTCTCTCTATTGCAGCATGTAAGCAGTTGATACAAATTGTATGCGAGCATAATGTAACTCGGTATTGATGCATATAAATACAATCAAAACAAGGGGAATCCGATGAATCAACATATCGGGACGTAAATTGATGAAACATGATACTAGAATAAGTAGCGTGAGGGGAGAAAAAAGGATCGACGATAAGTAATTGTGTGGTGGAACGAACGGGTCACGGCACCAATATTAGCGATGTCTTCGCTCGAGAAACGAATCTCAATCTGTTTATTCGAAACGATGTGAAAGAGAATGTGTATCGAAGGTAACCGAAACACATGGAGAGGATGTGAAGGCACGTGTATGTACATGCCTGTAACAACAATGCACATTGAAACAATATTTAAGCTGAGAATATTATGATAATATGCTGACATATTATACAAGACACTTGGGACCTATCATTATTTTTTGTGGTGTTCATCATAGTTCAATATTTTAGAATAATTAATTACAGTGAAGAAGCACGTAATTTTGCCTTTTTTACAAGAAATCTATCGTCCTGTCCTGAATTTTTCTAGGCGTCACATCATTTTATCCTAATCTTGATCCTCTGTATAGTTGACCTGCGCATGCAGACTTCTCCCACATATTCTCCGACAGAGCAAAGACAGAATCACAATCGGGTGTATAAGTGTTTTAACATTGCTTACGACAACTGATATCACCCACAGCAAGTACAGCCGGTGAAAGCAGTGTGTCTTGTCTGACTACACATGGTTTTCTATAGGTCCAAGTCAGCTTTTGATAACAAGGAAGATAGAAAATGATAAGAACAGGAATGTATATCTAATCGGGCAAATAGCTGCACTCATACCGGTATCCATTCTTGCGAGTACCCCTACAGAAAATAGTTATGAAAAGAGAGAACGCTGTGCGATTATTTCAGCCCTCTTAGAAAACCCAAGTCTTTGTGCCTGAAATTCTCAGCAATTAAAGATCATGTCAGTGGCATAGCCAGGGGGTGGCAATTGCCCAGTAAATTTTTCAGCTTATGATAATAGCCCAATAAAAAATTTCGATATACATTCATACTTCAAAACCTATAATTTCATTACACTGAGCTGTTAAAATATACTCCAAAGATCAAGAACTAACAAATCACAAATTTCTTTTAAACAATATAAAGGACGGGGGACATAAGCAATGCAAAATGGGCGCTTGGTTTTGTTTTTCGAATCTCTTGTTCAATCTTTCTGGGAAGGTTAGGCAAGTGTTTGTGAAGCAAACTGAAGCATAATTCTGTATATGGAAAGCCATTTTGGGGTGAAAATCTCTCTAAATATTCTATAGGTTTTTAGAGACAATCATGCTGTTTTTAGGCGTGCAGTATTTGATCGAAATGGATACTTTTCTAAAAATATGTAAAGCTGAATTTATCACCATTAAAAAGAGCATTTAATTCAGCATCTTTTCATCTAAGAAACATTATTTTCCATAATTTGAACATATTTAGATAGTTTTTTTGCGTGAGGCAAATTCGTTTATATAGCATTCGATAGAGCAAAGAAAGCGCTACAAACTGGTACGTTCTTAATTTCATTTCAAGATGGGCCCGATATTTAAAAAAGCCAAAAAATATCGCCACTATGCAGAAAACATTCGATTTTTCTGTCTTAAATCGTTTTTTTTCGCTACTTTTTCTGCAGAACATTTAACCCACATAATTTTTTGTGCACTGAAAAAGTGAGTACACTACTAAAATCGGTGTGTGTATCTGTCCGTCGGTCAGTTTATTCGACAACTTTGGAAAGAAGAGTGCGATTGAGCTGAGATTTTCCACACAGTTTAGTCTCATCAATATCTCGGTCGAGGTCGAAGGTAAGGTCGACCGGTCAAAAGACAAGTGAGTTAACATAAAAATTCTAAAAATTGACGAGACCATACCTGAAGGAGTCAGGGATTTTCTTCAAAAAAATTTCGGTTTATTAGGGTGGCCAAACTTTGCATGGCGCTTCTGTAGGTTTAGAAGAAAGTAAAGAGAGTGTTGATTCAGAAGTAGGAGGGCTGCGGATGAGTAGTTTGGGTGACCTGGGTGGAATTTGATCGAAGTCATTTTCCTATTGATTAATGCTAGAAAAGTCCTTCTAGTTGACGTGAAGTATAGGCATTCGTTCAAAAGTACGATTTATTCATTTGTAGGATTTAGGTATATGTAGTGAAAGTGTCGGGAATTTCGTAATGACAGTATAACATGAAATCTTTTACTTTTACTTAGTATACTGAACAGTGAGTCTATCACTAGAACTGATCAATGGTCATCTATTCGTTCGTTTTAATCGTAATTCATAAATAGCGACTCTGCAAGTGATTGAATTTCCTGCAAGTTATTGTCACGTCAATATGTAGCTCGAGAGCAAAGATGAAATTGATAAAATAAGCCATTGCCGTGTTTTTAGGAAACATACAGGTGTTTTCCTATGACTTTCTTTTATCTTCTCTCTTATATACTTTTTGTAGTACACATAACATTCGGATAAAATCCCAAGTTTCCGCATTTATTTTAGTATAATTTTCGATGGACGCAGTGAATAGTTTGTTTAGAAAGCATAGTGATGTCAGTATTCACTTGTATCGAAAAGTTGTCAAAAATATATTGATTTATCCTTATTTTATCAGAAAAAAATCATTGAAAGGACAGGGGCGCATAAGCAATGCAAGATGGGCCACATAGATTTCATCGAAAATTCATAGATATTCCGTTTTAGAAAAATGAAATAATATTTATAAGAGCAAATTCAAGTAGAATTATGCATGCTAAACCTCAGGTTGAGATAAGAACGTAGTGAAAATATTTTGCAAACACTGTGAATCATTATATAAGACTTGTAGGGCCTTTAAATGCTTTTCATCGTACTCGTGATAGTTTAATATTCGAAGTTGTATATTCTCATGAGAAAGAGCATGAAATTCTGCGTCGTTTTGTATAAGACCCACCAATTTTTACGAAATTCTCTCGTCGTTATGGTTTCACTTTTGTATTAAGCGCTATGTCATTTTACCATAATTTAAGCCATTTAGATACTTTTCTTTCGCGAGCAGCTTTCTCGTACATGCCATTCGATAGAGCAAAGCAAGGGCTACAATCTGGTATATAATTAATTTCATTTCAAGGTTGGCCCGTACGAGTAATATCTCCAATAATGGGCATAACTGACAAAAACAGTGTTTTTTAGTCTAGTTTTACGTGGTTTCGACAGAGGTAACTCGTTTTTTGATAAGAGAAAATGTCATATTTGAAATCAGCATAAAAAGCTGAGTCGATCTATCTAATTTCCGAAACGATTGGACAAGTTTCATTTTTTCACAACAAAATTGCCCCAATACCCCTCAGGATGTACGGGCCAACCTTGAAATCAAATGAATTATATACCAGATTGTAGCCCTTGCTTTGCTCTATCGAATGGCATGTACGAGAAAGCTGCTCACGCAAAAAAGTATCGAAATATGTTCAGATTATGGAAAATAATGTTCCTTAGACGAAAAGATGCTGAATTAAATGCTCTTTTTAATGGTGATAAATTCAGCTTTACATATTTTTAGAAAAGTATCCATTTCGATCAAATACTGCACCCCTAAAAACAGCATGATTGTCTCTAAAAAACTATAGAATATTTAGAGAGATTTTCACTCCAAAATGGCTTTCCATATACAGAATTATGCTTCAGTTTGCTTCACAAACACTTGCCTAACCTTCCCAGAAAGATTGAACAAGAGATTCGAAAAACAAAACCAAGCGCCCATTTTGCATTGCTTATGTCCCCCGTCCTTTGTCTTAATAGTCTAAGTTTTGTCTTCAATCGTACTTTACCAAAATTTACTATGAGTAGTTGATAGATCTACACAGCGCATCACAAAATTATAAACCCGTTCTTTATTGCTGAAGAAATTTTTGTTAATATTTCCGAGAAACATCTATTTGTTTATCATACATATTCGTTAGAAAGACGACTACATGTACTGCATAAATACATCCCACCGGCTTTATGAATTCGCTGTTGTGAACGGCTGAATCGACGAATATAGAACCGATCCTTCCGATTATGCATGCAAAAATCCCGATTCGATTCGATTCCGATTCTAGAATTGGAATCGGGATTGGTGCATGCCTACTTCCGATTAAGCATTTTGTAGTTGTTTTTGTTTGAAAAAGTTTTCTTGGACTAATCTTCAACTGACCAGCTCAGATGTTCATGACACCAATGAAATCGATTAACGAGTGGGGCAAATGTTTTGCATTAATTTTGCTTTTGGTATAATTTGACAACAGAAAATGATAGAAGTTTGAACTTTTTTTGTTAGAAAGAGCAAAGCCTCTAGTGCAGAAATACATTAGAAAATCCAGCTGACAAAGTTTCTGGAAGGTTACAAAAGTTGCAGAACAGTACAGAGTGAAAAATGCTTCCGCAACGTTTTTTCAATGAGAACAAGTTCTGTATTATTCTGCGTGTCATCTTTTTTTCATGCAATCTGAAGTCTTTTCATACATGAACAGATGCATTATCACTGCATTAGAAAAGAAAATTTTTGCACCCTGTGGCAAGCCCAAAATCATCGAATTATAGAAATCCATGAAATCTACATTTTGAATGTCTCATAAAGGGGTTTAGAGAATTTAACTTCGATTCAAATGACAAACTAATAGAACGCGTGCGTTTCGGGCGTAAAAGAAACACAAGAGAGACCCCTGCCAGATGACCCTATTTGTAGTAAAACACAATGTTTGTACTAGATAGGCAATCAATAGTTTGTTTGACATGATGAACACTGCATTCGAACAATTTTAATTTTTTCAAAATTGTCTTCTCCTCATACCCTTATATGATGTATTAATTATTTTAATATCAAATGACAGCTTTCATTGTGCCGTACAGTTTTATATATATGGCAGCAAGCGTGTCGAAAAGTGGTTGATAAGATCGGTAAAACTATCTTTTTTTGGGCCCGAAACAATGCCAAAGGTTGCGAAAGTATTTTTCGCTCAGTAGTGCTCTGTAACTTTTGTAATCTTCCAGAAACTTTGTCAGTTCAATTGTTCAATATATTTCTGGACTAGAAACTTTGCTCTTTCTAGCGAAAAAAAGTTCAAACTTCTATCACTTTCGGTTGTCAAACTATACCAAAAGCAAAATTAATGTAAAACTTGTGCCCCACGCGTTACGTCGTTGGACTCGAGTTATTCGAGGTTTTCTTCGTGTAACATACGATACCATTTTATAGTCTACAGAATACGGCTAATCGTTGATCGATTAATACATAGCTACAGATCTGTAAAAGAATATTGCACGAGATTGTTCAATGAAAAGCTATCATATCGTAGTTGTTGGAGTTTGATTAATCTTCGTTCATGAATACTCGGTTTTCGTGGACGACCATCGCCAGGTCTTGCAGCGACTGAATGAAATCCATCAAATTCCGAATTGACGAAATATTCTGTGTTTATGCAGTGCATGTAGTCGTCTCTCTAACGAATATGTATGATGAACAAAGGGATGTTTCTTGAAAATGTTAAATAAGTTTTCTTCAGCAAGATAAAGAGAGAGTTTACGATTTTGTGATATCCTGTACATGTGTTTTCTCGTTTTATTTTTATGATAGGGCTTGCAAAATTGTCGAATCAATAGGAATCACGGTAGGCTTTGAGGACTCCACTCATGTTATATTCATATCTGTTTATCTTGACAGTTGTATTTTCGATGGTATCTTTCTGTTCTTCAAAGACACTTCCCAACACTCTGGAATGCTTTGACAATATTCTAGCGCGCACGAAAATAATTTATGGAGTATCGCTTTGTCTCCGTTGCTAGAACGAAGAACAAATAAAGATTCAGTATAGCATCGATTCCCCTAGAGAATATGTATTGATTCAGTCATTTCTTATATTACAGATTATCTGACGTGACACATTATCAAGTATCACGGATTTCATTCGAAGTCTTTATAGTCAACCAGCATCGGTCTTAGAACTGTAGTGGATAACCAAAATCAAATTGTTTGTTGAATTTATGAGTGAAAAATACAGCATGGATGAAAGTAACATTGGTCAACAAATTCTCTTACATTCACGTGAAAACACTGTGCAAGAAAATCCTGAAATTTTGCAAAAAGTATCCATGAGTGATGCAAATACATTTTGGATGAATGTTCTTCGGGATTGTGAACTTAACCGATTGCTACCATTGCCTTACGATCGACATCGTCTTCTCAACGAAAACCAAACATCGCATCGAGCATTGTTTTCTTTCGATTTCGGCGAAGATCTCACACGTTATATTTTTACCTATGCATCATCCAAAAATATACCATTTCGAGACATCATGATTGCTAGTTTTTGTGCCTTTTTGTTCAAAATATGTAATGGAGAGAGAGATTTGTGTATTGGTATGATATCTCACCATGAATCTAAAGAATTCAAGTTAATTCCAGATCCCTCTGTGAATATGATTCCATTACGGTGTCAACTAGATCCGCATTGGTATTTTCAACAATTGGCTGAACATATACACGAAACAGTGACAAAAAGCATGGAATATTCGTATTTCCCTCTTCAAGAGATTCTTACGCCCCGGGACGCATCGAAATTAGCATTCCTTAAGATATGTTTTAAATTTCACTCGTATAGAAAAGAAATGAAAACCAATTGTGAAAAAATCAATTGTAATGATCAATACTCAACAGACTGCGCAATAAATAATACGAAAAGCGTGGCCACAGAGGTTTTGGACTTGATTATTACTATACACCATGATCTGACTATGAATCGCCTATCATGTACAGTAGACGCGTCACGCGACGTATTCAATGTGGAAACAGTCGATACCATAACGCAGCGCTTTCATTCCATGTTGCAGCAAGTGTTTTTACTACCGATTTATTTCATGATGACAAAACCAATTTGTGAATTATCGATAACATTACCAAATGAACGGCTACTCATACAATCAACGAACAATACAAGTATATCACTTCCTTCTACCAATGGCGTTCATCGCGATTTTGTTTGTCAAACTATGAAACATCCACAAAAGCTGGCGGTAGAACTTGATGAACAATTTTTAACGTATTGTGAACTATTGAATTGCATACAAATATTATCTATGAATTTCTTAAATGAATATCGCATTGTTCCCGGTGATATTGTCTGTCAATGTGTCGAACGAAGTTTTTCCATGGTAGGTACATCTAAGAACAACGATGATTTCGATCTGTGTGAGACTTATCAATTTAGGTGATTGGTATCTTAGCTATTGAAATGGTTGGTGGTGTGTACTGTCCATTATCACCTCAAGATCCTGAGCATCGCTTACATGCACTCATGCAGCAAACTCAAAGTCGCCTCGTTCTTGTTAACTATTTCACAAAATCAATATTTCATGATGAAATTTCATTTATTAATATTGATTCGGTAATCATGTATGACTACGCAACTTATGAGGCCGATACAAAGGCATTATCGAACGTTATAGTAACACCTAATGATATTGCCTATATTATCTTTACAAGTGGATCAACTGGAACACCAAAAGCAGTTAGTGATATATTGAATCATTTATGAGCTGAGATAAGATACACTAAATGTATTTCTAGGCCCGACTTCGACATCGAAATATAACGGATTGGATGAATACTGCGCTTGGTATCGGTGTCATCAATAAGAATGATATAGTTGCTCAGATAGCACGTTGCTCTTTTGATGTTCATGTTCTTGATATACTAGGAACGTTGATTATTGGTGGAAGTCTCGTTATGCTTCACCCAGAAGGTATTTCAGACTTTGAGTACCTTGCTCGAGTGTTCAGTGGAAAGCAGACAACATATATTCACGCTGTACCGAGTCTTCTTCGAGCTTTCTTTACATTTTTAACTAGCAGTATCGATTTCAGTGCCGTGAAGTATTTCCGATCGGTTTGTGCTAGTGGTAAGAATTAGCAATACTTGACTGATCCATACCTTATCTCATTTGTTTTGAAGGAGAAGCTTGTTCTGTTAAACTGCTGCGCTTCCTATCCGGTTATTTGTCTGAGAACTGTGTTATATGGAACTTGTATGGTCCCGCTGAAGCGATAGGTTGTACGTTTCATCGCTTTGATCCTATAATAGATACTGAAGTAGTACCCATTGGTTTTATGATGCCTAATTATCGGTATGAAATATTTGACGAATTCCTACAACATATTGTAGATAATCAAGAAGGCGAGCTGTTCATTGGAGGAGTCGGTTTGTACGATGGTTACCTTGGACGTGATGATTTAACAGCAGCAGCATTTGTTAAAATTAATAGTCAATTATATTATCGAACAGGTGATATTCTTAAATTGACCAGTAAAGGCTCTCTTTTGTATCATGGAAGGAAGGACCATCAAATCAAATTACACGGGCAACGAATCGAGTTAGGAGAAATAGAGCAATGCATCTTAAATACATCGGCTCCCTTTTGTCTTGTTACGAAATGGAATGACCACCATTTAATTGCCTATGTTGAAAAAAGCTCCAATATTAATGAAGCGCAACTACGCGAACATTGCCGAAAGTATTTACCACCTCATATGATTCCTTCAATATTTATTTTACTTGAAGACTTACCATTAAATACAAATGGAAAAGTTGATCGAAAACGCCTTCCTTCGCCTAATTTTCATCATTCTTTATCTGTTGCAGAAAATAAGGGTGGATTATTGCTACCAAAAGATGAAATTGAGGAATTTGTCCATCGCGTATGGTGCCAACTCTTCCATCAGAATCGAATGCCAATGGACACAAATTTTTTCGCTGTTGGCGGTCATTCTTTACTTCTTATGGAACTTCTCTGGCAATATAAAGCTGAATATCATCTAAATTCAAATACACTGACTATTAATGATCTCTCCAACAATATAACAATAAGAGATCATGCTCGAGTTGTCCGCCATTATCTTAATATGACTCCAATTTCGGTTGGTTCTCCTCTGGTTTCGTTGTATCTTACTCAAGGTAATAATAACTTTTATCACTACCGTCAGTATTCTATGAGTCTGTAAGTTAACTATACTTTGAGAAAAAGTAGAAATTCTTACCTTAAGTGGTCGACAGAAGCGTTCGGCTCTTTAGCATCTGAATCAGTGGATTTATTCATGATTGAAATTCAGATAAGAGAGGCCTTGATTGAGACTAGTACGCATAGGATCAGAGCAGCAATACAAAAGTATTAAATGTCTCATATCGCCACGTACGGTCATTAATGAGTGTGAATATGTGCGGTTTTATTTTACAAAATAAAACGACAATTTACAATCATAATAGCAATGGGGGTGGCACATTTACTGTTGTAAAGTAAATATCGATATTTTGATGGAATATTTACATAGGTCAGCCGATAAGTTCTAATAATCTTAATATATAATTTCATATCTATTGACTTGGGGGATCATATTGAGTTGGTCTAGTAGCGACATCTGTCGTGTATACAAGTACCAACATAAAGTTTCAAAACTGTCAAGAATGACGGATCGTTAATCAAAACTTTGAACACCCCTATTTTGACATGGATTAGCTCTCGCACGTTCCTATATAAAGACTCATTTGCTTCTGGGTTTACCCCGCTACGGAAATTCATGATGAATTGGGCACTGCTTATGGTCCAGATGTAGTATCATATTGCAACAGTCGCACGTTGGATTCGTCGATTCTCCAGTGGACGGGAGTCGTTCTACGATGATTGTCGAGTCGGTCGGCCAATCACTACGGTTACTCAACGGAACATCAACCAACGTCACCTATTATCGCAATGAATGTCTGACCAAAAAACGTTGGTTCGAAATCTGTATAAGAAAAGACCATCAGCAAAGACTCGTGGTATCTAACTGCACCATAACAATGCGCGCCCACATGTCAGCGGCATCGTTCTTGACTATCTTCGCGAAGTTAAACTCACCGTTATGGCACATTCACCTTACTCCCCAGACCTTGCTCCATCGGACTTATAGTTGTTTACACGTCTGATGCGCAATCTCGGTACATATTCAGATATTCGAAGTTTAGCCAGAGCATCACCATGGAGCTCAATTCGATTCCCATTGAGGAATGCCAAAAGACATTCCACAAGTGGATTGAAAGGATAAAATTTTTCGTTGAACATCAGGGCAACTACTTCGAAGATTTGATGTCGAAAGATTGGCAAAGGATTTCTTCGAATAAATACGTTAAGATTATTCGAACTTATTGACTGACCTATGTAATTCTTGTGATTGTGCTTCACGGATAAGCATTACCAGAGTGCCAAATTCTCAGCACCAAAATAAGGATTTAAATTTTGGTCTCTAGATTGCAGCGCATAATATTGATTTCAAATAAAGTAAAATTGTAAAGAAGGCATTTCTAAAAAAAAGAACTGAATGCTCAGCTGGATTAAGAAGTGATAGAAACAAATAGTTTATCTTCGGTGGTTTATCTCTGAAACACCATGCTGTATATTATTTGTAGGTCCTATATCAGAGCCACAGAGAATGTGTGTGGACTACTTGGACAATGTTTTGGATGCCAAAACTGCATTCGGCAATGTACCTCTTGCATATGTGATCACAAATGGATGGTAAGTTGGAACGCAACAAGTTCACTAAATCAGATGAATGTAGTGCTTGAGAACGTATTATGAACGAAAGTGAGACTCTAAGGAAACTCCTTCTTTTTATAACGAAATTTTCAAAGGCTTTTTCATGTAATAATAGAGGAACTATTAGTTAATATTTTCATTAGTGTTCGAATGATCGCTGTTGGACATGCTTGTTCAGTGACTATATGTTGATCATCATCGAATGCAATTCCAAAAATAATTTTTTGTTCTCACTAGACTATCCACGAAAAGTTTCCTATTAATTCTAAAATAATCAGTATAGGAAACAGAAAATGGGATGTTTATTCTCGGTTCTGATTGGTTCGTTTTTTAGCCTCTCAGGTTTTACGCAGATGGTCATCCCAACGAACTAGCCAGTGTCTCATATTAAGTTAGCAACCTAAACTGATGAGATGCACTCGTAGACTAGTAAATAGGAGAAGATTCAAGCTGAGCGACAGAGCGATTGTGAGCATTGGGAGGATGGGAATGAAAGTCAGATAATCGGTATAGGATATTAGCTGAAGATTTGCAATGACCAAAAACTATTTTTGTCACCATTAATTTGAAGATCAGGCCATGAGTATAGATAAAAGTTACAGCGGTGGTCTTTTGTTGCAAAGTGGCAATTATATCACTTCTCTCAAGTCTGCGGCGATAAACACTGTTAATGGAAATGCAGCTGTCGCGAAAGCGTACAAGCCTTACTTCTAGATGACAACCAATATGGAAAACTCATCAATGGAAGCAGCTGTTTAAATCTCGATAAAACTTTAATCAAATCAGAAGATCTTTTGGATATGAAAGAGAAATATTGTTTCATAGAACAAGTACAAACATTAAGTGTAAACGTTTTGCACCTAAGTATGCGTAAAGAATTTTCCTCCGAGGCGTTTCACTTGTCTGCCGCAAAAACAACCGGAAGCTCTTACTTGAAGAAGTATGAAAAATACAATTATAAATACTTCATCTAAGCTCTGTTACGTCTAGTATAGCTCAAGTATACCTGTTTTAACGCACACAGACTGTGATGGGCAACTTCAACTAACCTACTTTTTTCAAGTAAATGCAGACAAATCCTACTGTGTGAAGTTGAACTGAAGTTAGAGTTAACTCTGAAGTTGATGCTCTTTTACTCAGTGTTGGAGCTGGTTACCCCTAGAGTTGCCCATCTCTGCACTCAGCTATAGATCTGTAGTCTATAGAGAAAAGGTGATTCTTTCTGACTGATTTGTAGAACCAATTGATATTGTATATTTAAGCAAGCATATTCCTCAGCAAAAGTCATAGTGTCAAAGCTACATCCCAATAAATCTAACACTGTCGAAAATTTGATCTAAAGAAGTTTGGACATTCCTACTAAGGATCTTCAAGTTAAGAAAATGCTACGAGCGGCTTTAGTCGGCAAGACGAATGATATTTTATTCCGAAAAAACGAGCCTTTATAAGGCTCAAGAACAAAGGAGAAGTCATCAGGAACTTCTCCTTGTGAATATACAAAAAAGATGTCCAGGCCTCATGTCACTTGGGAACATTTGACCTGGACAGAAGAGACACATATAGACGAACGAAAGACGAACAAGTGAAAAGAGAGGAAAAGAAATAACAACTATGTAACACTTCATTTCTCTTAAAGTTGATTTCAGCGCTATTCTGTCACAATAATGTCTGTTTCTAAAACGAACACTATAGTCAAAATGAATCAGATCAAAACACATGGTGTTAGTATATATAACCAGATTTAGTCACGCGAATAACATGAATGAATTATAACAAAATTTTGAATAATTTTGTTTATTACTAATAAAACGTTTGATACACATGTAACTCATTTGGATTTTGCTTTAGTTTTTTCAAATACTATTGAAGTATTTATGTCAGATATTATTCATTTATAGCTATCATCATGACTGCAGCTCACAGAAATATGGGTTAATTCCTTTTCTGTTTTTAAAAATCATGCTGCAGTTTGCGCATAAAACGAACTTGTACATTTTCAGATACCAAAAAAAATCCACCAAATCGAGTTTTTCTGAGGACAGGAACAATTCTATGTAAAGAAATTTCAAGAAGTATCATAGAATACTTTTATAAATTAAAACAAGCGACAAATAATAAAGAAATATGTGTATCCAAAGAAGCCTAATTGTTACAGATAATCATATGTGATTCTAATGAGTATGGAATAGATAAAATCGATTTCTTCGATCGAAAACACATAAAGCAACTATGCAAGTTGAACATTCAATTAATGATCTTTGATCATTATTTTTAGTGCTGCAATAGGCACATCTTCTTTGAGTTGTAGGTAATGAAAGATGAACATCGGCATCAGAAAATCGTACTTCATCTGAATTGAACATTTCTCTCTCACTTCCCATGTAAAAAAGCTATAAAAATCAGATTTTCTATGAGAAATCTGATGGAAAATCAGTTTCAATGGCACGGTTCAAATACCTTGGTAATCAGTTTGATCTGAATAAGCAACTAAAATTGATTAAATTCTGTTGTAAAATCGATTTTAACTTGTTATTTTTCACGAAAACGCAGATACTGTTGGATTTTAATCGATTTTGATTGATTATTCAAATCAAACTGATTACCAAGCTATTTAGATCGTGTCATTGAAATCCATTTTTCATCAGATTTCTCGTAGAAAATCTGATTTTTACAGCTTTTTTACATGGACTATCCTGTGTCTCTTCACCCCAGAGTTGCCCATAGTACTTTCTTTTCTCTTGTATACTAAGGTTCTACAACCAATTAGTTCTTCTGTCGTAGCAGTTAAAAATTTGAAGTAGGTGACTTTGTCATTTGAATGGTGTCTAAGATAAATGGCAGAAGCATTTGATAACGTCACTTTGACAAAACGGAAAAATATTCGAATGCAATTCCGTCTAGATCTTCCATCAACAGCATAATATCCAATTCGTTGATCAGCTCGATCGACTTTAAGCTTCCAAAATTTTAATCCAGAATACTTTCTCTATTGCGTATTTGAATAATAAAAACATAATGTTATTTTCTACATTATGTATAAATAATTGAATTTTAACTCAAAAAGTTCTCTTTTTGATTGCGCGAATTTTATTCGTTCCGTCCAAGATATTTTTTGTGATTTTGTCCGTACGAAAGTAGTACAATTTTTAGAGCACGCTTACGGAAGAAAGACAATGAAGATAATATAATGAGAAAAGAGTTACAAAGAGCAGAAAATAGACACTGGCGTGGCCTTGACAACCATGTCCACGTATATTGTTGGTATTCGCTTCATACGGACAACATTCTTTGCCTTCCTTCTTATCTTCCATCATCACCATTGCCGACGTGCGAAGGGAAAGAATCAAACCTTCTGTTCTCTGATCAAGAGCCCGATGCATAGAACCACTATGCCATCCTCGGCTTCTAACTCAAATAGTCATAGATATACAGTGTGTTGCATAATCATAAGACCAATAGTTTTTGCGCTTTGGAAAATCAGATGAAGTTAAGTCTTTGAAATCAGAGAGACTATTACACCACTATCTAGTTGTTAAATTTTCAGAAGTATATTGTTTCTTTTTCATCTACTCTTAAATTTTTATAACTTTTGATGATGCACATGTATAAGACCACAGCAAAAGAAGTACAAAAAAGAAGAACAAAAATAACAACCAATATTTGGTTTTTGCTTCATTCAACTTAATAATAACTTCAAATAATCTATCTAACTTCGAATTGACTAAATCCCGAAGCTGATCGATACTTATTTCTTCCCATGATTTTAATATAGCAGTTTTTGACTGCACTTCAGTTCTAAATTGTTTCTCTTCAGCAAAACGTTTCTTACTAGTATTCCCCACGAGTTGTTGATTGGGTTTAAGTCAGGGAATAATGATGCCCAGGACAAAGCATTGATTTTCTTAGACTTGAATCAAGTAACATTGACCGCCGCCCGATGAACAGAACCATTATCTTGCTGAAAAATCCAATAAGATCCACCAGTACTAGCACCAATGTTAACTGGATGATTCTTTAGCGTCTCTCGATACCCATTTGAGTTCACTCGCCCATCTAGAAAACATATTGAGCTTTTACCACCCCAACCAAAAGATGTCCCAGTCCTAACACTTCCACCACCTTGAGGCCGAGTTGATAAAATTTCTTCCTCTTTACGTAGATCATGCCAGCAATAAGAAAAGCCGTCAGGATCGTCTAAATTAAATTTTTTCTCCTCTGACCACACAACCTTCCACCCTTTTTCATCTCGGGCCATAGGATGTCTAGCCCATTGTAATCGTAATTTTTTTGTTAAAAGCGGAGAACGTTTTTTTTCCTTCATTTTAAAGATTTTTTTACTTTTCTTTAGCCCGATTTATTGTCCACCTTGACAGTTTCATGCTTAAATCGTGAGTAATATCGGCACAAAATAGTGACTTGTTACCAGCAGTTCTTAAAATATGTCGTTTGGGGCGTTCATCGACTTTTCTTCTACGACCAGTTCGTTTTCTTGATCTATATTTAAGTGGATCTTTCAAAAAATTTGTTACCACGGTTTTAGGTCGAATGATTTTCTTTGCGATTTCTCGATGTGGATAGTTTTTCTTTTGCAAGTTCAGAATACGTCTTTTCTCATCTTCAGTCAATTGTATTCATTTGGACACATCTTTATTTGTATCTGAGTGTCAATTTAGTATGTTAATGTACGAAAACGTCGCGGAGAAAAAATGTTATGGCAAACAGCCCACGTGGTCTTGTATCTATGCACCAAACAAATAGAGAAAATTATATATATACAGGAAAGTCAAAGAATATGCGTTCGAAAATTATATATATATATATATATATATTGTATGTCAAAATTATAGACCCCTGTCATTCAGTCACACTAAATTGTTTATTCTATTTCAAGAACAGCCGATTACGATCAACTACTGAAATGTTAATATAAGACCGTATATGTACTATCCACTGGCTTAGTATCATATTCGAGTTTCCCTGATAGTCGGCAAAAACTTTGAAAATTAAAAACTCGATGATTCCATAACTATAGACTCCCTAATCGGAAATCCGTTTCCGGATTTTCTGAGCTTGTTAACCTTCGGATACCGTTTGTATTATGTCATTAAGTGATCATTATGTGAAAGTATATCGAAAGCTTGAGAACATGTTTATCAAGCAACGATCGCAGCATTCTATTTTCTAGTTTTTCTCTTTCATTCGATCTGGGCGAATGTCGCCTATTTAAATACATAAAAGAGATCTTCTGTAGCAAGAGGGAAAACGTTGTACTTGTTTATTTAACTTGCTATACTGAATAAGATATAAAATTAGTGAGGAAGCTTCGAGATGCACGACTTACAAACAGTTTTTGATTCACTAATGCTATGAGAAGTACAGACATGATTTCGACACGCGTGACAAACTTGTCTTACTTTACGCCCAAGACATGCAGGACAAAGGTAACATCTTCACGTTGCACGTATTAGTTCATCATCTCGTTGATGAAGTGGCGAACCCTGTCGTTTCAATTCATATCCGAGTGATCGCAGGGCAAGTTTCGTTCGGTATGACAGATGAGACGCCTCACATCGATGCCCATACAACACCATATTCCTCTATTGTCTCTGGCTGAGCATGAGGATGAGGAGTTTGCGGGTCATCTTGTTCAAAAATAGCAGAATCCGATGCATTGTCTTTAGCGGAGATCTGTTCGTTGGTGAACGTGTCATCGGATTCCGTTTCCGTGAATACAAAGCTGACATCCAAACACGCACTGTCTTCCTCGGATGTGCTGCCTTTTTGCTCCGTACCGCTAGTTGTACGGACACTTCCATTAGCTCTCTTTTGACCACCGAGAGCTACGACAGATCGCATCTGAAACATGAGGTAATGTCAATCTCTCAAAAAAAAGACGTTCTTGAGTTTTCTCATACGTACAGTATCAAACGTTGAAACTCGAAGTGGCGTCCCCATCCTCAAGCGCTTTAAATGACGTTTGGTCGATTCCTTTGCGCGACGGACTCGGTATGAACGAAAATTCCCATTCGAAGCAATGCAAGGAAGAATCGCTTCAAAGTAGACTTATCGAAAAATATAGGGTAGTTTCAACACTAGTGCAAATCATCAACATAGCATGAAAGTTGTACAGGAGTCCAGCCGGACCCAGTCTCTAATTTTTCCCTGTCGAAAGGTTAGGAGAATGTTTTCGTTGGAGTCTTTCTGTGCTTAGTGGACTAGCAATGAGAAAAAAGACCAGTCCGAGCGCTCAAAACTGGCATGAAAACAGCTGAAATACAGAGCTGTGGGCCCAGCCGAACCCACAAAAAGTATCTGAGGATTAACTACCGGCTTTTCCATATTTCTTTCTTATAAACCGAATGCCACCTGCTTCGTATACTTTGAACTCTTGATCAGAAAGCTTTTAGCTTAAACTTTTATCATTTCGAGATACCTATAGGCTTTTATGGAATTGATATGCGTATACTTTTGCCATGCCTTTTATCTATTCAAAAACAGTCCAATATGTGTCACTTCTACAGACAATGTCGTTATAATTTCCATTAAGTTTCTAGAAGATCGTGAAAGAGTAATTTGGAAGAGTCCAATACGATGGCTATTATGAGTGCTCTTGATCCTATATGGGAACCCCACAAAACCCTCAGATGTTACGGCCGTTTTACTCGATGAATCCAATGTAACAGCATGATTAGAAAGAGCACATCAAGTTGTCCTGAATAATTCACAAAAATGATAACAAAAATGGTCAATACTCATTTTCAGCCAACGACATTGAAAACTACCGAATTACAGCATATGTATTAATATAGAAGTAATGGATCAGTTGCTAATTTATCATTTAGCATATACTTCCAAAGCAATCTATTAGTATATGTAGGCACATCAGTACGTATCTATCATTCGCAGTAAAGGAAGAAATTTCTATTTTCCTTCTTCATGTTTCATGATAATATTTTTGAAATGCAGCAGTCAGTTTTCTCCTATACTCATGATTTATTAATAAGCAGTGTCGTTGGCCGAAAATGAGTATTGACCATTTTTGTTATCATTTTTGTGAATTTCTTAGGACAACTTGATGTGCTCTTTCTAATCATGCTGTTACATTGGATTTGCCGAGTCAAATGACCGCGAAACTTGAAGATTTCTTCAGAGATCTTCTATAAGACCCAGAACTCTCATAATATTTCTCGCGGTTAACTATATGAAACTGCTCTTTGATGGGCTTAATTTCAACTGCAATGATATTATATTGGAAAGTCACATATATTCGAGTGATTTTAACTATATAAATGTCTTGACAAAAGCATCTACAAATGAACTTTCACAAGAACCCATAGACAACTTGACACGATAAAAGTTTGAGGTAATATGACGTAAGTCTTCCAATTAATAATTCAAAATACATGAGATAGAGAGTATTTACTCTACAATAAAGAAATATATGAAAAATTCGTGACTATACAGTCTCTGCAGTTTAGGAAATGCGTTTTTGATTAGAGGGTCTATAATTATGAAGCAGTAAATTTTCGTAATTTTTTCGATCTTTCCCTACTATCAAGGAAATCGAAATAAGATAACAGGCTGGTAGATAGTACATATACGGTCTCGCATCCACATGCCATAAGTTATTCATTATTGGTTGTTGTTGAAATACAATAACCCAATATGTATGACTGTGAGAGAGCGGTCTATAATTTTGTCATATCCTATAATAATGAAACAGAAGTAAATGGAAAGATATTATTCAATTTAATTACGTAACAAACTATAGTTCGTAAGAGGCGAACAGTTTGTCCAGTGAACGATTGTATATGAGTATCACTTCACAGTGACGTCTATATAGAATCGGTAGGCGAGCAGACAAGCCAAGATTGTACAATATACCCTATTTTGATGATCAAATTTTTAGACATCGGCGAAGACATCTTTGTTGGAATCACTTTGTATAGAACTGTATAGGAGGCAAATTTACTGAATAGATCATGGTTTGAAAGGTTAAGTAAACTCTTCTGTGTAGTAATATTCAGGACATCTAGTTTTGAAATAAAGTATTAATTTTGTTTTCATGTTCCTAGTATCTCCGTAAAACGCTTGCGTCAAGCTTTAACACAGCTAATAAATAAACATGCCGTTCTCCGCACATCATTCCATCTTGATTCCACTACAAACGAGTGGTATCAACGAATCGAAAAGATGATCGACGATGGCTATACGTTCGTTGAAAGCAGTATCGCTACGACGGGCTACTCTGAAGCACTTGCTAATTTAATCGAGTGCGAGATGGCTTCAGGTCTTTTTACAAATGAAGGAAGTCGTCGTGTTCGTCTACACGTCATTCGCCGTGTTCTCTCAAACAGGAACCAGGAAGCGCAAAGCAACGTTAACAGAGACACTCTTCAAGTCGGAGATGTTATCATTCTCAATGTGCGACATGAGGCCATAGATGGTATATCGATCAAGTACTTTTTGGATGACTTGGCAGAAGGCTACACAAATAAACATCTCTCTGACCAAGACGATAATATTACATATCTGGATTACACTGTATACGAGCGCCTAAATGACCATTCGGCTAGTGTTGCTTTCTGGAAAGACCATCGTGGCAATTTAGATTGTTCGAAATTCATGGCTCGCTTTCCTTATGATCAGCCGTAAGTTAATCTTCTTCTGTGTTTTTTTTCGCGCAAATTTTCGAAAACTAGATACATACTACTAACTAACAAGCGAATAAACGTCTAGTAGAACTTACAATGGGCAGAAACACGGAACAATCTGAATTAGCTATCTATAGCTTTTATGGCAATTCCTTTTGAATTTCATATAAACAGAAAGAGTAAATTCCAATATATATTTCAGTGATAAATGCCTGAGATTTTCTTCATCTTTTATGGGCATATTCTATTGGCAAAGTGAGATATCGTTGGCATATCAGATTTATTCTTTAACCCTTTACGGCCGGATGGTACCTAACGGTAACAATTTTGCCATAGGGCGGTACAGCGTTCTCCAAAAATTCGGGACTGAAAAATTGATCCCCATAACTGCACTAACAAGAATATATATAAACATAATCTTTTGCTTGCTGTTTTCTGGTAGCCGACCGTAAAGGGTTAAGGACGCAAGTAAACAAGAGCTATAATAAGTGCGGAAACTTCAAATTTTATCCGAATGTTAAGTGCACTGCGAAAAGGTGTAACGGGTGTCCCAGAAAGAATGGGCCTCTCAATATTTTGTTAATATCTCCAAGAAAACTAATCGGTTCGGAGCCAATATTTTTTTCAAAAGATAGATCTTTTCAAGCTCTACAAGATAATGTTTTTTTAAATAACGTCCATCATTTTTCAAAAGACGATGTAAAGGTACCATTCAAGATGAACAACTTTGTAGAACAACATCTTGTCGAATTTTTTTACTCCACATTTTAATTCATGAATTAGTGTGGCTTTGATGTTATTTTCTTCCAGTTGACACAACGCGCAAATTCATCCCAGATACAATAGTCCAATGGATTTAAATCTGGACTATTCGGTGGCCAATGATTTTTATCAATGAACGATGGAAAGTTATCCTGACGCCATTCTTGTGTTAGGTGATGGGTGTGTGGTGTCGCACCGTCTTGCTGAAATATCCAGTGTTCTCCGAAGGTTTTATTTCCATACTCGAGTGCAACTGGAAGAACTTCCCGGATATATTCAGCATGAGTTACGGTTCCTCGATCGAAAATGACTAACGGTGTCACTCCCTTGGAGCAAACACAAAGCCAGACCATAACCTTTTGCGGATATTTCTGTCCCATTTTAATACCACCTTTTTCGTCTGCTTCATCTCGACTGGCAGCCCAAATACGTTGGTTTTGGGAATTGTAAATACCGTCAAGATCAAACAGCTTCTCATCTGAAAATAAAATGCGCATCGTGTCAACTTTTCGAAAGTTATTATCGATCCAATTAACGAATTTTTTTCGTTTCTTCTTTTGTTCATCTGTAAGCTTTGGTTCAATTTGCACCTTGTATGCATAGAGTCCTAGGTCTTCCGTCAATATTCGATGTGCACTTGATTTGGATATGCCATAATCTTTAGCCAAATCTCGAGCCGACACCGTCTTTTTTTTATCAAGTTTCTGTTTGACTTTTCTGATTGTTTTGCTGGTTCGAGCAAGACGTGGAGCACCTGGTGATGTTGATAACTGGATAGAGCCAGTATCACGGATCATTTTACACCATCGTTTGATGGTATTTAATCCCAAAGAACCGTTTAAATCTCGAAAGATCTTACGAGGGAACATATTTAGGTGATTAAGCGATTTAGATCCCATCTTTTGGTGATAGATAGACCTCAATGAGGTATGAAAAACCTCAAGAGGATTCGTGCCCTCGCGCCTTTATTTCAAA